GGCCTTCGGCTCTGCTGGCGCCGGCGGGCCTTCCGTGCTCGCGTGACGCGTCGTCGCTGTCAGGTGGGCGGCGCTGGCCCCCATTTACGTCCCTTTGACAGCAGCCGCGCCATAGGCATCGTGCTCCTGAGTATCGTTTTGGGGCCCGGGGGCCATCTTGAGGCCGTCTTGGAGGCAATCGATCAAAGGAGGGACGGTTCGCAATGCCAGCCCCTCAGTCGGTGCCAGACCAATCGCCTCTCGGGGCTTTCTTGGGGCGCTCTTGGACTCGTCTTGGAGCCCTCTTGGGGCTCTAACGGGCGATCTTGGAGCCGGGCTTATAAAAGGAATCCAGTCGGAAGTGAACAGGCGATAATCCAAACACCATGTTTTTGTTTCATCGGCTTTTGAATAACTTTGGCCTCACGGGGGCGTCCTCACTAGGCACCATGGCCACTTGTAGGCGTCTGGGTGCGGTCTTGGGCCTCGTGGAAGCATGTTGGAGGCTATCTTGAGCCATCTTGAGCCTCCTTTTGCCATGTCCGATGCAACGTGTGGCCATCTGTGACCCTCTTGGGGCCTTCTTGGGCCATCCTGGACGCTCTGACCGCTTGCGCCCCTCCTTCAGACCCAGGGTTAAAGCTGATGACCCACGAGCCCCAAGCCGTCTCACTCGCTTCCAGCCTGCCTCTCAACTCACACGTGGCACCCGAGTCTCAGCGTATGGTCGCAACTGGACGGACGGACAGCTCCTGGGGCCAACACGCCAGGTGCGCGGCGCTGTCGAGGTGCGCCACGCGCGCCAAGTGCGCCACGTGCACCGGGTGCGATAGGCGCCCCAGGGGCCCAACTGTGCTAGGCTTAAGTCGGGCCTGTCCCTCTGCAGGAGGAATAGTAAAGAAATAGTCAGGGGACGAATTTTGGAGTATTTTTTGTATTTTTCAGTATTTGTGGACTACTTTTTTTATATTATCTTTCGTCCAAAATCCGCCTGTAGGGGGACAGGCCCGACCTACTGTTAGGCGCACCTGGTGCGCCAGGTGAGCTGCGTGCTCCAGATGTGCCAAGGGTGCCAAACGCTCCAGATGCGCCACCCGCGCAGAGTGTGCCGGGTGCGCCCGTGCACGTGACAGCACACATCAGGAGACCCGTCGACCCCCTTACCACCATCCCTGTCGAGACCCGAAAGGCATGTGCATTCGCAGTCACTTTGCAGTTGCCTTTGATAGGGACGATGGGCCTGGGAATATCGGGCCTTTCGCTGCCCCCCGCCGTCCCTGTCAAGAATCAATACCAAGTAATCGCGGGGAGCTCTCGCATAGTGCAAGATGTTACCGCGGTGTGTGCTCTGTAGCCCCAGGTATCGAGGATGGTGAGGGGTGATGGAATCGGTTCGGATTGGCGTCCGGTCGAGTGTGGGAGTGGGTGGTTATCATCGAATGCGCCTACTGTGAACATTCGCCGCCGTCTCCCTTTTTAGAGGAGCTGTGACCGAACGTTGCGGCCAGAGTTCGGCCGAGCTATCGGACTACATGTTCCCCCAGTTGTTGTGGAAACTAATCATATTAATAATCGTGTTACTAATCATAATAATGATGATAATAGTAATGATAATAATAATACTAATGATATTCATAGGACTAGGGAGAATACTAAGACGAGTCATCGGAGGGGAGGGATGAACAAGGAGGAGGATGAGGAGGCCTCTTGGGAGCCTTTTAGGACATTCTTGTGGCCTCTTGGGGGCTTCTTTGGGCTTCTTGGGGGTCTTTGGAGGTTCCTGGGGGGTTCGTCCGTTTGAGGGCGTTCCTTGCCCGTCTGGCGCCGTCGGAGGCCATCTTGCGGGCCTCTATGGGCCGACTTGGGGCCCTCGTGGGGCGCTTCAGGGCCGTCTTGGAGACCATCTTGGGCGTCTTGGATGTCTCCTGCGCCGTCTTGGGGCCCTCTTGGAGGGGGCAATCTCGGAGGCCTTCGGGCGCTTTGGGGGCGATCCTGGTGTCATTTGGGGCAGTTTGAGCCGTCGGAAAGCCGAGCATGAGCAAACACCGCGCTCCTTCACAAACCTAAACCATATATAATGATTTTGGCCTCTTCGTACCTTCCTTGAGGTCCTCTTGGAGGCCTCTTGGGCCGTCTTGGAGGCCTCATGGGCCGCCTTTGGCGATCGCGAGGCCATCTTGGGTCATCTTGCGGGCATCTCGGTCCGTCTTGGAGACATCTTGGGACCGTCTTGGACGCCATCTTGGCTGTCTTGTAGGCATCTTAGCGGCCATCTTGGGCCATCTTTGCCGTTTTGGGACGATTTTTTTGTGCTCGTTGAGGTCTTTACGCGGCTTTCCGGGTGGCTGGCGGGTTGGGCCGAAGGCCTATTGGGAATTTTTGAACCAAGCACTACCTACCATCTGACACGCAGGGCACTCCTGTGGCAAACAACAAGGGGCGGCGGATCTAGTGGACTGCGGGTCTATCCCGCCACCGAGCCCAGTTAGTGGGTCAGAGTCTCATGGATTCTGCTTGGGGTCTCTTCGGCGGGCTCTCAGTTGCCTCTGGGGGGCAGTTTCGAGGCCTCTTGGGAGCCTTTTGGGGGCCTCCTGGGGGCCCCATCGGAGCCCCTTGGGGCCTCTTGGGGGCCCTCTGGGGGTCTCTTGGGCCTCCTGCGAATTTCTTGGGGCGGAGAGCTCGAAATGTCAGGCCGTTTTTCCACTTTTGATCTCTTTTGGGGCGTTCCTGCCCTCGTGAGCCGTCTTGGGAAGTTTCCTGGGCCGTCTTGGGGCGATCTTGGGGGCCTCTTGGACCGTCTTGGAGCGTCGGGGACCCGAAAAGGCGGAAACGCCCAAATCCATCAAACGCCTAGGGAAACAAAAACGATTGTTGCCTCTTGGGGGCTCTCTTGGGAGTACTCTTGGGAGCCGTCTTGGGCCGTCTTGGAGGCCTCTTGGGCCGTCTGGGGGCCACTGTGGCGTCTTGAAGCGATCTTTCATCGAATCGGAGCCCTCTTGGACAAATCGAAGGGTTCGTGAGGTCGTTTTGGGCGGGCACAGCGTCTAGAGGACCGGAAGGAAACACCTCAGAACTCGTGTTACCAGGTAATGTGAACCTATGTGCTGCATGTGATGCGCTGCGACGCAGCGAAGTGCAGAAACGCAGTGTAATGTAGTGTGGGGTGGTGCGGTCTAGTGTGCTTGTGTCTGGTCTAGTGTTAGCGTCGCATAGTGTAGTGTAGTGTAGTGTGAAAGTGATTGGATGTGTGGTAAGGTTTTGTAGATATGTGGATGCAGTGCGATGTGATGTAGTGTCTTGCTCTCAAGTCCAGAACTGGCCGTCAACGTGCATGCTTATGTGGGAATGTTGTTGGCCCCCCTGCCCTTCAGGAGCTCCTCTTGCATACGAGCTCGACGCAGGGCGAGTCTCACTTCGCGGGCGCGAGCTCCCGGCCTGTCCGCGCAGATGCAGATTCCCCTTTTCCTCTGCTCAGCGCGGCCTCGCCTCCGTTTGCGCTGCGGGCGGCTGAGCAGCCAAGGCTCTCCCAGCTCGACGTGCTCCACGTGCAGCGGAGCTGCCCCTTGGCGGCCGAGGCTCCTCTCGCCATCCTGCTGCCCAGCGGCGCCGCCCTCGGGTCTGGCAGGCCGCAGGCCGCCTTGGAGGCCACGCTGCCGGAGCGGCCGCCGCAGGCCGAGCCCGCGCTCGCCCCCTGGATGCCAGGCGGGCCCATGGCGCCGGCGGCCGCCAGGGCCTCGGGCCGCGGGTCGGTGGGCGCCTGGCCCCTCGAGGCGCCTGCCGACCCGCGCCGCAGGCTGCGCGCCGTCACCGAGGCGATCCACCAGCTGCTGGGCCCCGACCTGTGCGCCCACGGCAGGGGCCTACCGCCGCGCGGGGGGCCCCCGCCGCCCGCGGCGGCGGCGGCCCCGCGCGGGGCCGCGGTGCTGCGCAGCTGCAAGGCCGCGGTGATCTCCCAGGCGGACGCCCTCGCGGACGCGGTGCTGCAGCACGTGCTCGGGGACACCGTGGGCGCGCTGAACGGGCTGCCTGGGCTCGGCCTCCGGCCCTCCAGCGGGCCGGGCACCCCGCGGCCTCGGGCGCCGGAGCGGGCCGCCGGCGGCGGCGGCCTGGCGCAGAGGGCCGCGCGCGACGCCGCGGCCGAGCTCGTGGAGCTGGAGGAGAGCCTCGCGCGGTGCTACTCGGCGTCGGCGGGCAGCGGACCCCCCCGCCCTGCCGGCGCGGGCGGCGCCGTGGCGCGGCGCGCGGGCTCCGAGGGCGGTGGGCGCCCCGCGGCGCCGGAGGAGGGCCTCGCGCGGTGCCGCTGGGCGGTTGTCGCGGCCGGCGCGGGCGGTGCCGGGGCGCAGCGCGCGGGGCCGCGGGAGGAGGAAGGGCGGCGGGCGAGGTGCCGCGGCGAGGCCGGCGGCGGGTGCTCCCGCGGGCAGCACCGCGGGGGACGGTGGCCGTGGGGCGAGGAGGCGCCAGAGCTCTGGCCCGCTGCCCTGCCCGCGGAGCGGGTGCGGCAGCTGGAGAGGTACAGGACTGGAGTCGGCTGGGGTCTGAGGTGGCTCAGCACTGGTTCTGGCCAGCAGGAGGGGCGGGCAGGTTCGAGGGTCTGGGTTGGTGAAGGTTTTTGGCCTTCTTCGGCCTCCTGCAGGGGCCGTTTTCGGGCCCCCGGATTGTCAAAAACGGATTTGGGGTGAAACTAAGCCAGATTCACCCCAGGGGGGTTCTGCAGGGATCGTTTTTGAAGAGATTCGGCCTCGTCTCCCCTCCGGGCCGATTGGGTCCCAACCAGTTCAGACCCCCCAGCCGCCTTCAAGCACAGGACACGCTTCGCGCATCACTGCGTTGCCACGCGCGAGTCTGGCATCGACCGCGGCTGGCCTGGAGATGCGGCTTCCACAGCGACGTGGGTGATCTGGCCGTACCTCGCCGACTCCATCGCGATGGCCGCAGTGGAGGGCGCGATCGAGGACGTTCATGCAGCGCTCGAGCGCCACGTGGACGAGATGGTGAGCCGAGAGATTGGGGCTGTGATCTGATCCGGCGGCGCGCAGATGAGGGGTGGTGCCAGGGGGGGTGGCCTTCTAGGAAGCCACGGGTCCTCCTAGAAGCCCTCCTGCCCTCTGAAAAGCCTTCTTTGAGGCTTCCTAGCCTTTCGAGGGCACCTTCGTAACAGGCCACCCAACTCGCCCTGCCCCAGTTCGCGCGCCACCAACTGATGGTCCAGGCCAAGCTTGCCTCGGGGAGCTTCTGCCGCGATCACCCGACCAGGACGCGGCAGTGCGGGCAAGCGTCTGACCTCCCATCAAACAAAAGCCAGTGGTCGTCATGCACTGCCACCGCTTTTGGCCAGAGCCGTCCTGGGCCCCAGGATAGTGTGTAGACTCTCCTGGTCAAGGCCAGGATGTTATGCACACTAGTTCAGGAGGGGTGGGGCGGTTGAGAGTCGTGTCTGCGCCAGACCCCGAAGACGAACAAACTGCATAAACACGCACGAACGCACGCACGCACGCACGCATACACACGCATGCATACACACCCATGCATACACACAAACACAATCACACAGACGCACACAGACACACACACACAGACACATACACAGACACACACAGGCACACAGACACACACACAGACACACAGACACACATGCACACAGGCACACACACACACACGCACGCACGCACGCACACAAACACGCACACACAGGCGCGCGCACACACCCGCACACACACACACGCACACACGTGCTTGCACACACATCCTTTTTGGCGTCGCGGCCTTGCGCGCATCGACAGAGCTTCGAGGATCGAAACGCAGCAAGCGCGCATACAGGCGCACACTTGTTTTGGGCGTCGCAGCTCTGCGCGCGGCGACAAGGCGTAGAAGGTCGGACAACAACAGAGCGCGCGTGTACACACAACCAAACACACACACACACTCGCAAACACACAAACACTAACAGAGCACACCACAACGCAATGCAACACAGCACACCACGACAGAACACCACACCGCAACACACCCCACAACACAACACAACACAACACAACACACACCTACCCACCCACCCACCCGCGCACGCACGCACGCACGCACGTACACACGCACGCACGCACGCACGCACGCACACACGCACACACCACACACCACACCACACAGCACACACCACACGACACACAACACAACACACACCCCACAGCACACACCATACAACACACAACACACGACAGACACCACACAACACAACACACAACACAAAACACAGCCCACACCACAACACACAACACAACACACGCAACCCACACCACACGCTTCACACAACACACAGCACAGAACGTGCAACCCGCAACACAACACACAACGCACAGCACACAGCACACACCACACAACACACAACGCACCACACACCACACACCATACACCACACAACAGACAACAGACAGCGCACAACACACAACACACAACACACAACACGCAGCACACAACACACAGCACACAACACACAACACACAACACACAATACATAACACATAACAGACAACGCACACCACACATCACACAACACACCACATAACACAATCTATACCCCACACACCATACAACACACAACACACACAACACACAACACACATCACACAGCACGCAGCACACAGCACACAACGTATAAAGCACACACCAGACAGCAAACACCACACAACAGACAACAGACAACACCCACACGCACGCACGCACACACACACACACACGCTCACACACACACACCTTTTGGTGATCGCGGCCTCGCGCGCAACGACGAGGCTGATCAGCAGTCACAATCGCAATTCTGATTTTCTCTTTCTCAAGTGCTGCTTCCCCCGAGACCCATCAAGATGTGCGCACCCCGACAGGCGCTGGCGCGCTAGCCTAAACCTCGGAAGACTGCTCGGGCCACGTGGCGTGCGATGGAGGCAGAGCACATATAGGAGTGCACAAGACAGCGATGCAACGGGAGAAGACCTAATGAAGGCCCGGAATGCTGGAATGGAGAACACACGCAACCTCCCTAAGATGGGTGTGTCAAAAGGGCTGTGGGACGCCTTCATCGTCTTCGTCTACCATCCAGAAGTCACAGTGTGTGCGTGCACGTGCCGCCCCGTCGAGGGCAGGTCCTGAACAAATATCGCTATCTGTGAGAGTGCCCGAGGACACAGGAATGCTGGGCTTGCGCTTGAGAGGGTTGCGTGGGCTGCCGAGCCAGCTCCCACTAAACACAACTAGGAGGAGTCCGCCGCCAAGCCAGGAAGGGACATGGTTAATTACGCGTGTGATAGACAGGCCGAGGTTGTCATCCGTACTCGGAAGACGAACACGCAATCCGTCCATGAGGAGGCCAGGCTGTCAATTAGCAACTGTCCAAATCCCCAACAGCATGATGATGCATCCGTACCAACATACAATCGTGACTTAATGAAGAACTCCAGCGCCGCACCCAAAATGGTCAAGCCGCTGCCTGTCTACTCGTCGTCTGATGCCTGCTCATGCTGCTTCCTACTTGATGGTAAGACCTGGTTCCGGGAGTGCGTGGCCTCGAACTGGTACGAGAGAGGTGCGAGTAACTTGGCTGGTCACCAACTTCACTTTCCGAAGAGGCGGTTCAGGCTGCTGGGGGTGCCAGCTGGAAGGGGTCCTCGGCAATCTCACCGTGCGCCGTCATGTGGCAGTGCAAGAACGTTCCGATCTCGTTTCTGTCCAGCTGGCCCACCGTCTCCTCGTCAGCTCCGAGAGATGTGAGCTTCTTTTTCCACTGGTCCAGGATCTTCAGCTTGGACGCTGTCTCCCACCAGTTCACTGAAGGGAAGGCCGTCGCGCGGGAAGCCTTTCTTCATGCCCTTGAATCTGGTATTGTTGTTGACCCCGAGCAGTGGGGCCGCCGCCGTGTGCTCCGTGATTTTGACCTGCTGGTTTAATGCCACGTGGTCTCGAGCAGCAGGCCGAACTGGGAGCTCTGGGGCAGCAACGCGTGCACCTGCGGGGGGACGTGCCTGATCGAACTTGTCCAAGAGCTTTGCCATCCTTTGCTTTGCCTCCAAGAGCGCGGCCTGACTTTCGGAGCTGGCCTCCTTGATATCGGCGATGCCCTTGCTCTTGGAGTCGACGCGGCCTGCCAATGTATCAGTATTGGACCGCGGGCGATTGATCTCGGTGTCGTCGCCGCTGCCCGAGCTCGAGCTTACCCATGAGAATCCTTGAAACTGGTGTAAGCTCTTGACACGAGTGTCGCGGCGCTAAGGCGGGAGCCACACTTTGAAAGGAACCGCCCTCCATCCGCAAACCTGCTGCAATTTTGTAAGACGCATGTGCGCGGCGCTAGGGCGAGAACAACACTTTGAAAACGACCCGCCCTCCGTCTGTGAAGCTCCTTGCAAGTTTTTGAGACGAACGTGCGCGGCGAGAAACACATTTTGAAAGCGACCTGTCCTCAATCCGTGAACGTCTTACAAGTTTTTCTACGACGGATGTGCGCGGCGCCAAGGCGAGAGCAACACTAAAAACACCCACCCGCCCTCAATCCGTGAAGCTCATGCAAATTTCCAAGACGGGTGTGCGCGGCGCGAAGGTGAGAGCCACATTTTGAACACCATCCGCCCTCAATCCGTGAACATGTTGCAAATTTTGAGCTTCAGGATCTTACATGTTGATGAAGTCTCAGGCGAAGCGCCAGGCCCGCATTTCCGATTGGCCTCCGGGTGCGACCAGGAGGAGTTATTCTTAATGAAAAGGAATGGCGGAGGAGGAGGAGGAGGAGGAGGGAGGAGGTGAGCCGTCTGTCTCCTCGGTGGCGGCCTGTGCTGGGGCCGGGGCCAGAGCCGGGGCCCCATGGCCGGGGCCGGTGCCCGAGCCAGTGGCTGGGATCGGGGGCCCGGGACCGGGGCTGGGGCCGGGGGGGGGGCCGAGGCCGGAGCCGTGGCCGTGGCGGGGGGAGGGGTCCCAATCCCCTGCGGACGGAGACCGCCTCCTTAAGACTTCCTTCTCCACCGCCCAGGGTGGGTGTCACGACCCCCAGGACCGCTCCTCTGACCTCCCCTGGGACCCCCCTTCCCGGGACCCCCCCAGACCCCCCCAGGGACCTCCTCAGGGACCACAGGAGGCTAGCGTAATTCAGTTTGTGTTGGGCTGGCCTCGCGTCGAAGGGCCTCTCACACACGCCAACTGGGTCGGCGGATGACGGTAAGCGCGCCAAGACTCGAAGAGTCGCGCGATGGACGTCTGTTTGCCCAGAGGGATCTTTTTATCAACTGGGGGGGGGGTCGGGGGGGGGGAACGTGCGGCGCCGCCTCGTTGTCCAGAGCCTGGCGGATTCCCAACATGAGCGTTTCGCTCGAGACGTCCTCAACAAATCGTGAAACAAATCGTGAAGCTGGGGGTCGTATCTTAAGACGTCGTTTGCCTGAAATGGGCGTTTCGCTCGGGACGTCCTCAAAACATCGGGATGTCGAAATCGACGTCCTAATTCTCGGTTCCTCGAAAATGGGCGTTTCGCCCGAGACATGCTCGATAAAATGGGATGCCGGCACAGCTCTTGTAAGGCATCTTTTCGGAGCGGTCTCGGATGACCCCCAAGATGGCCCAAGAAGCGAAAATATTGAAACACCCGCATGTTTTTAACATTTTCGTTGTAAAATCAACGTTTCACTCGAGACATCCCTTACAAAATGCCTTCGAACGGGCCCTCGAAGCCATCTGGTCTCCTCCTCCTCCTCCTCCTCCTCCTCCTCCTCCTTCTGCTCCTCCTCCTCTTCCTCCTTCTCCTTCTCCTGCTCCTTCTCCTCCTCCTCCTTCTCCTTCTCTTCCGCCTGCTGTTCTTGCTTATCCACCACCTCCTCCTCCTCCTCCTCCTCCTCCTCCTCCTCCTCCTCCTCCTCCTCCTCCCTCCTCCTCCTCCTCCTTTCTCCTCCTCCTCTCGTTCTTGCTCATTCTCTGTCATCCTCCTCCGCCTCGTACTCCTCGTCCTCCTGCTCCTGTTCCTCCTCTTCCTCTTTCTCCTCCCCGTCCCCTC